TATTTTTCGCGAATTGATTATTTCTTTTCGGCGACATAGAAGCTGTATCAGAGTTCAAAGTTGAATTTATGTGATCTATGTACGTTGTAGTTTTATATGAAAAACGGCAATTTTTGGGGTCAGTTGTCCTTTAAGGTATATATTAGAAGGATATTTCTTGCAAGAAAAGTGCATTTTTTAAGAATGAAGTAGGAAAATATTTGATATTTATCGAGATGAAGTCGTTGTTTTGAGGTCATGAAGTCGGCAAAACAAGACTAAAAGCTTCGTAGCTAAAATCCTGTACGATGCTAGCCACAGTGGCCGATTTGATCACGTGACCTCTTCTTGCAAGTTGCCTATTTATTCATTACTTGACAGGGAAAATATGCAAAATGCTGAAAACGGGGGTAAATTTTGCATTAACGATCCTTTGACTGGGGAAAGCGATGTTCATGGATTAGTATTGTGCAGCAACGAACGAAGTTTTCGAATACTCCATTTTACAGTTCCATTCATTGACTACGAATAATAGTTCCAAGCCGAAGTTGGAGTTGCCGCACATGATAAAAAAAAACATAGTTTTGCTGTGCGCGGAAACTCTAACCTCGAATTGCAACTAGTATTCGTGGTCACTGAACAGAACTTTAAAATGGAGTATTTTATGGTTGCAGAACGAGCTGCAAGGCCTTCGGATTTGTAAGGAATGCAATCAAGGAAACAATAGGCTGCGGTTTTAAGAGTGACTGGAAATGTCAAAAGAATTTACACCTATGTGTCAACACATCAAGTTCAAATCAAGCGCAGACTTTGTATAAGATTTTAGAGGTAATTTTGTTGGTAATTATTCTAAATCTAATAATTTTATTATTTCTCAGTTATTACTAGACTTTTGCCTTTTAAAAATACTGTAAAATAAGCTTCGCATGCAGCATTGGCCGCGCCAAAATATCCTTACTGACCAACGAGGGAATTTATATTATTGCCTTTTCAGCCTCTTCTCAGTAGTTCTTCTCAGTATTTCTTATGAACGATTCTCGCATTCTCGTGTAATTGTAGTTTCCTAATGTTAGGAACCAATAATAATGACTTAATTTGATTATAGGCGTGTTTTTGAGTATTATTTCTACCCTAGTTATTCTAGCTATCTGTTCCGGCTTCAAACTTCTTTCAAAAACCTAGAAGCGGCGACTTTTCGTCCACAAAAATGGTACACTTTTATTGTGCTTTCTAGGTGCTTCGCCCAAAGGCAGTAGAATTGCCAGGTGGCTCGCCACAGTTCTATAAGAGGCTACATTTTTATCCTAGTAACTTAGTATTTCGAAAGTCTTACAGCGATAAAAACGTTATTATACACTTTCGTTGTACTTTCTAGTACCCGCGAAATAAAGCTGAGTATGCCGTGAGTATGCTGGTACATTGAATTCTAAAGGAGAATTGCTTCTCGAAACAGAAAGGGGGAGAATTCCACATCAGTTCTCTTTAGCACAGTGTCTTGTGTCGGACTCATGGTAAACAGATCGAGTTCATCATTAATGCACTCGTATGATTTGGGGTGAATGAGTGACATTTTTAGTTTTTTCAACTATCGACTACAACCAAATATGTCTTGAAACGTTAGGCGTTTCCCAAACTTAATCACACTTAGTGACGGATTTTTGTTCTTGGTCTTCATATACTTCTTCTCTTTTTAACCTGTCTTTGTTAAGAACGTGGCTTTTCTTTTCCTTTCCTTTTTGCCTTAGTCCGTTTGAGAATTCAGAACATCCTTCAGTATGTTGGTATCTTTCAATTCCTTACCGATTTCACGAATTCTATTTCTCAGCAATATCTTGAGGTTAATTCCTAAAAGCGTGTCACTTTCGCATCTGTTTTCTTTTTTTTTTTCCTCCTGAAACGCAGCTTTCCCCCTCTGTTTGCTTGCACTTTTGAAAGTCCTTTACTGAGGTCGTTTACATACTGTGCTAGCAGCGACTTATTGGAGTACCTATAATCTTTTGAACACCAAATCCTAATAGTTGAGACAACTCTTTCTTCAAAACTAACTTGTAACCTTCTCGCAAGTAAAACGCTCACTTTTTCCGATCTGTTGTTATATGATGACTCAAAGTTTAAGTTCACAATAGTGAACTCTAAACTTGTTGATAACTACACTAGAGAAAATCGTTTGCGCATGCGTGCATTTCAGTACGTTTTCTAAGAATTTTGAAAAGTTCCAGTGAGAAAATAAATGTTTGTTTTTTTCCAAGTATACAAAATATTTCGAGAGTATACTTTTGCCAGACCAAGATACCGTATCAACAAGCACAATATGAAAGAATTAGCCTTGGGTTCCAAGCATGGACACCAAGTTTAAGCATTTTGTGAAGTCCAATTTATCAGGCATGTTTATTTGAAAGCCAAATTTACATATTCAAAATTTACATGCTCAATATTTAATAAGATTTTTATGTTAACAACACTTTCTTGTTCTCGATTTGACTTGCTAGTATCCCAGAATGAATAGCACGCTGGATAACCTTTCCAAGACACGAGAACTTCCTTCTCAGCATGCCATCCTCTCGTATTCAAGATCTTGTCTATTTCATACTCATCGTCATCCTTGATAACCATAGCCAGTTCGAATACATAAACCGAAAGAATGATCTCATCTCCATTTGCTTGTTTTAAATTATACACGTGCGGCGTACGAGCGATACAATTAGAAAACGTGAAAATCTCACCAGTGTACTGACGAAGGTATCACTTATTAAACGTCCTTCTCGCTTTAGAAATCCAAACCATATAACCTACATGCACACTTTCATAAGTACATGTTCAGTATTTTGGACCAGATAAGAAATGATGCAATTTCACATCAAATTGTCGGTCTGTTAACGAACTGTAAGTCATCATATATGGTGTTGTATGTACATATGAAGCGTTAAAACACAACTCTGCTTTTTGTTGACGCAGTTATCGACCCCTTCTAGTTACGCTACTTCTTTTAACTTATTGCATAGCTCGGTCTATATTGGCTCTATTAACGTTGTCGCAACATAAAAAATTGACTGCCGTGAGTGGATGTTTAAAACTCTACGTAATACTTATATGACAGCGTACAGCCAAACGTGTTTTCCAAGATTTTCATGTTACATAATTAATTTTGAAAGTAATAAGCTGTTTTTCTCTTTCATTGTTACTAGACATAGACGAGTGTTTAAGCAAACCTTGTCAGAATGGAGCAAAATGCTACAACAGAGAAAATGGTTATTCTTGTGAATGTGCAGCTGGATTCACAGGAATAAACTGCGAAACAAGTAAGTTCAAGGAAACATAATGATGAATATATAAGTATGTATTTGATCTCAGAAGGACATCTTTGTACCCTAGCGACAAATGAAAGTAGCATTCCGTAATAGCGCGACCTCATTATTGAACTCTTACCATAAATACTGGGATAGGGTATCGGTGAAAACAACATAGTTTACTATTGCTGTTAGCTTACTAATTAGTGGAATATCTAGGTAAACTTTTCTAGGCCTTGACAACCAACCAACCAATCAACMAAGAAACAAACAAACCAATAACTTTTGATAGAATATATAAATTCGCCACAAGCAATTATTTGCCTCTGCCTTTGGAATCGCTAAATAATTGCTTGCTCGCCATTAACAAATCACGATATTTAACTTAATTTCTTCCATTAATTGCTTATTGTACTTTGCAAATTGTTCATAGACATCGACGAGTGTGCAAGCAATCCCTGCCAAAACAGTGGAAAATGTACTGATAAGACTAATGGCTACCACTGCGACTGCGCTGCAGGATTTAATGGTACAAACTGTGAAAATAGTAAGTATTTCCAACAGGATAGTCTTCTGTAAAAATCACGTTATCACTACTATAATCCAAATCATGAAAGGTTTCATGAATGGTATATCAAGGGTAAAATTGTGCATCACTCGAAAAAATGATGAAAACTGTCTACCACAGTAGTAAAAGTGTATCACGATACCATTTGTTATATTGGAGAACAAAATAGTTTTGAAACCAACGGCGCGCCCAGCTGACATTTTCTTTAATGCTCTCCATCCATCGTACATTATTAGCCAGGCAGATTTTTGAGAGTTCTATCTGTATATACCTGTATCTCTTTCTTTTTTCCTCTCTTATCATTTATGCATGCGGTTATTTGGTGAAAAAGGTTGAAAAAAGCGAATGACGATCAGTGATTGGAGATTTCATGCCCGTAAGGAATTGTAGGCATACGTCTAATCACATATAATGAAGGTTTTTAAAATGGTTTCGTCTACTAAAACGACACTAAAAATCTCAAAAATAACGTCTGTGTTCTTAACAAGCATAATAATAATAAGGAAGACTAAACATTCCAGCTATTCTTATGTTTTGGAATAACCTATCTCCTATCGCTTATATCGATTATTACCTATCGCCGTTTGCCACTTTCACTTTTTTTAAAGTAACTGTATATCTGTTTGAATGTGTAAAGCATAATTGTATGTTTGCAAATCGTATTAGACATAGATGAATGTGCAAGCAATCCCTGTATGAATGGCGGCACCTGTAGGGATGGCATCGCTGGATTCACCTGCGATTGTCCCAAAGGATACACGGGGGTAACATGCAAAGAAGGTATGTCAGTATGTCACCTGTTTGCGAGAGGGTAATAAGGGAGAGGCGATAGAGGAAGAGCGCGAGAGTGTAAGGGTCAACTTTATTAATATAACGTCAGTTCTGGTGGAATTATAGTGACTAACCGCTRCCAAAAAATCACACTGTACAAATAATAATATACACGAAGATTCTTTAAGCCATCCCCCATTCTCGTTCAGCGAGAAATCCAAGGTCAATTCCTTCGATATTTTGTTAAGAAGCTGAGAAGGCTTGGGTATGAGAAAGCCCCTTACCCTCCCTACGCTAACATTCGAAAGTAAAAAAAATTAAAAATAAAACAAACAAGATTACTCCAAGGAAGCACTTGTGGCAATGCCTGAAACAAAAGAAGCCATAAGAAATATCATAGTTAATGGAGCGCAATGGTTTGGAAACTTCATAGAACAAAGCTATTGTTTTCGTTTGATGTTGAACCGTACCATCACGTGATACTGACCCTGCACAATGGACTAAAGCAAGTATGTCTGAAAATACTCATTTCCTTATTATTTTAATGTATGAACATTTTGAAATTGAAAACTTTCATTGGATGACCATAAACCATGCGAATAAATATTTCCGCGCAGATACAATTAAGTCACTAGATGATAAATAAGAAAGAACGAAAAAAGGCAATTTTCTTTTCAATAAACAATTTGTATTAACCATATAGGATTAATTAACAAATAATAAGTATTTTAGAACGTTTTTTAGGGTTAAAAACTTCTATATTCCCTAATACTATGAACAAACGGAGCAACGGTTTCCTTCTCTGTCCAGGGTCAACGTTATATAACAATGGATAAAGACGAACAAAAACATGGAACATTAGGTTTCCCAACCATTCCGCTCCATTAACAATGGAAATATCGCCAAAAAATTTTCGTGCAAAAAAAAAAAAAAAAAAAACAGCGAGGGAACGAATATACTTTATATCAGCTATGATGATATTTAACGAACATAAACTGACCGAATATTAAACTTTCCTCAGTTCTATGCCAATGATTAAATAACACTCTTATTAGATGTAAATGAATGTGCTAGCAACCCTTGTTTGAATGGAGGTGCATGTAGTGACGGCATCAATGGCTATAGTTGCAGATGTATTATTGGCTTTGGTGGAGTCAATTGTCAATCTAGTAAGTTAAAACTAAGTTAAAATGGTAACACAACTCCATATTATTAGAAAAGGAGGTTCGCATGTTAATCAACTATGCTAACAACAAATTGCATGATGTTCTGTTACCATGTAAGATAATGCGAGCTAGCTGAAGGGAAGAAAAGTAAATGAAGCTTGACGTCACACTGGACGTATGCAACAGACGCAATAAAAGTCATAAGCGAAATTGGCAAAAGGATGATTGCATGGCTTAAAGAAAGAATGCAAATTAAAGCATGCACGTAAGGATTATTAAGTCAACAGCGAAATACTTTTTAAAATTATTTGATCTTGCTAGTGTTGGCACCAAATTGTGTGAGTGCATTTGCAAGACGCCAATAAAGCATTGATGCCAGCCCAGGAACATTTCGGCAATTGCTGTTATTACCCTTTTCTTACATATATTTTAATGATAATAACGTCTTTACCCTCTTTATTTGTTTTCTGTTTTGTTTACAGTATCCATTGGATAAGTTGTTGATCTAAATATCCACTACCATTCCTTCGATTTGCAGATGAATTGCTTATAAGAGTATTATCAATGAATATGTTTCATCTGTCATCTGTCATGACACTTTTATCTGTCCCAAAGAGAATACAAGGTTCATATCTTTGGGACAGTCTCTCCCCAAAAATCCTTGAAGACTGCGTGATCGCAGTCTACAATGTAAATAAATATGATTAAATCAACAGATTTTTAATTTTCATATTTCTTTTTGTATTGATAGTCTTTGCTCCTAACCATGTATGCAAATTTTGACTCATTAATTATGTTTAAAAATAATAAATTGTTGATTCAACATTTTTCAACGATTTCACATGCAGCCTTTTTAACCAAAAATACAATTATGATTGAGGAATGGCCAATGCTTAGCGTACGTATATCCAGTTCTGGATGCACGTGGGAGGCTGCTAAGCACGAAAGAAGCGTAAGAGTCGCACGAGGCATAGCCGAGTGCAACTCTAGCTTCTTGAGTGCTTTTAAGCACTAAAAAGTGCATCCAGAACTGGATATACGTACAACTAACCATTGACCACTGCTTTTATAACAGCAAAACCGTAAAATCAAAACAAAATTCTTTTTTTTTTTCTAACGAAGATTTCAATTAAGCAATGGTCAATGCTTAGCGTGCGTAAATCTATTGATGGTGCACGCGGATAGTTGGGAGAGCACGATCGTAGCGTAAGAATTGCACGAGGCGGAGCCGAAAACTATTTATTTTGCACTGATCAAATCACAGATTCTCCTAAGATGCGGGCACAATACTTTTCGAGCTAAATTTGAAATCAGTCAAGTCTCGTGTTCGGAGCAAAAACAGCTCAATTTRGATTGTAAACTTCATTTTTAAAAGTTTTTTTGATTAACCATATTAACTCTGGACGGTTGAATATTACTGACGTAAGGAGCATCGCGCGGTCGCGTTGTTGTTGATATAGTACAAACAGAGTCAAGTACGGAACGGCCATTAAAGAAGTAACGCTCATAGGCTATTCAAACCGTTTGACCTTTGGAATGAAAACGTCTGCATTACAAATGCGAACGAAGAAACACGGACACGAGATAAGTAAACAAGAATAACGTTAATTTAATTCAAATAATAGAAAGGAAAAAAAACCTATAAAAATCCAACCACATTCGGTGTCTTAGTGCCCTTGCATTCGCCATGACTTTTAAAAAATGTAAGTAAATTTCACTCAAAAGTCTGACAAACATAGAGCCACAGGGTGCTCAGAGATACTTGTAAGACTGCAGTCGCTGTAATCATCTACAACTATTAAGACTTTTTGATCGCCTTTAAAAAGCCATTGTAAATCGGAAGTCACGGCACTATTTAAATTGAAGGAAAAAAATAGCGGGTGAGACATGGAACAATTCCTCAACTTTTATTCATTTGGAACTTTTACGTTTTGTATATGATATAATGAAGAAGGCCAAACAGGCCGAAATGTTTATCATATCGATCTTGGTTGCTCTTGGCATGCATTGTTTCTGATTCCGTTCCAGCTTCTCATAGCATTTCTCTCGGGTTCTCACAATTTCCCGCCTGCCCATATGACTCAACATAGCACAAGGACTCATTGTCTATCTTTTCATCACAGTGCAGAGACATGAAGCGTGTTTCATATTTTTAAAATATAGCTAGTTTCAAAATCGTTGTCGCTTTCAAAAAGCATAGCCATAGCTTAGTACATAGCCCATGTTCTTTACACAAAAATAACTGAATAAGAATGGCAAAAAATAAAATAAATATGAATTAACAGTGGTTTAACAGAGTGGCTCCCCTCATACTAGATTCCTATTGGAATTTAAAAGACGATTTTTGAGGTTGGAGGAAAAAACAAATCCACCTGGGTCGCCTTGGTGAGAGGTGATCGCTCTTACCCCTATGTCACCTGTTCAAATCGTTTTATCAAGATATCATCCTTATATTCTTTTTCTTCTTCATAACCCAAATAAACATTTTCACGCGGTGTCATTGGGTCGAATTGGTCACGTGCAGGACGGATATCGGACGATATCCGCCGTTGGAATTGATATCCGTCCAGTGAAATATAAATTACGTAAAAACGAAGAGAACTGGAAAAAATGGAACACGAAAAAGAGAACTGGAACACAAAGAAGAGACCTGGAAAAAATGGAACACAAAGAAACTCGGTTTTTACAAACGAAAAAACAGTGTTTGAGTTCTGCAGTGCTATCCAAGCAAACACACAAAAAACTTTAAAATATGCTGTAAATTTATTAGCAGCCGAAAAGACGAAACTTTCAGTTCGTGGAATCCTTTCCAGTGAATTTGTTGGGTGATATGGCTCACTGGAATATCGGCTGGTAATGTCCTTGGATAAGAAATGCTCTTCAAAATATCACGCATGCTCTCGATGAAGCTTTGCTTCTCTTTTTTCCGCAGACCATTTCTCATTTTCGGACATTAAATCAGTCGATATCCCAGCCGCTCCAAGATTATTTTTACTAATATATCTTGTCCACTGGTGCACCTGTCTTCAACTTGTGGGATCCTTTTTTTAAGCTGACTGCGCATGTCAGTGATAAGCAAACCTCTATCAAATTATAAAGATCCATTCTCGTGACCCGTATGTTCGATTTGAACAAAGCTTTAGAAAAGTAGAATTAGGTACGAGTCAGTCTCAATAGAGCGACTACAGAATAAAAAAGGATTAGTAGATATTTTATTTCAATCATTTGCTTTGAAGTCGGCTATCTTGACTCAGTATTACACAGTGACAAGTATATTGTTTGTTTCCTATTTTAAAGAAAACGTGAAACAACAACGTGCTTCATTATTGAACGGAGCGCGGAAAAAGCTGTTTTATTTGTTANTCAACCTTATGTAAATAATTGATATCTCTCTCCAGTTACTTTAGTTTGCGGACTAAGCATTGCATTACCTTTTTCTAGATAACAGTTGATAAACGAATACATCCAGACAATAAACAAGTATTTTTAGTAGGTGACTAGTGGGAAAGACAGAAATATCTTAACGTTTTATTTATTTGCAAAATGGGATCTATAAATCATGCACCAGTATGTTGAAAAAAACCCCTTTAAAACATATGCCAATATCACGAAACAATCTAAGTAAAAATACCTCCAAATATATTTTGCTATCACGTACAAGGAAGTCTGAAGTCTTCCTTTGCCTGTGCCGGAGACTGTAGATGATAACACGTACAAGCCTAATAATGAAAAACATGAAACGAACTGCATTTAGACTCTCTCTCTGTCTTTCTTTTGGTGTATTATTTGGTGCATGGGCGTTTTTCCCTTGATTACTTTGCATTGCACGAACGGGTTAGTACATCTGATTTTTTCTTTTTTTTTTTCTTTATCCCAAAGGGAGGCGAGCTCTGATTGACAGTGATTGACCTTTAGTTGTATTCTTTATACTGTCGTAACACTTGCAACCTCAACTGCACCACCTAATTCTGTCAAAACGTCTCAACTTAAGAGATCAGCAAGAGAATCTAATTTCGTAGAGGTAAAAACAATTTTTTTTTTTCAGGAAACAAAGGCTTACAGTTCTTAGAATAAAATCGGGACATACGCAGCGAACACAAGTGATATATCTACACCGTATAAGCCAGAAGTTATAGTTGAATAAGTCTTGATACAACCATTAAATTAACTCACTAAGTAGTTACAAAATCAATATATTGAATGCACCCCACCAAAAGTCCATTTCCTAGTCAGGAAGCTGATGTCTGATCATAAGGAGGCTTGTTCATACACACAACAAGACTTTAATTCGTTGTGAACAAATAATGGCATGAAAAATTGAAGTTTTAATTTCAAGTCAAAAATAAATTAGACCCAGTTTTTAATGCGAGGCTTGAAATGAATGCAAACGATAACTTGAATTCATGAAAAGTCTAAAAAGATATCAAATTTTCATGCTTTTAGGGACTGTGCAATAATTATCGGGAGGGGGGGGGTTCTAAAATTCTCCAAATTGGGCTTAAATTGAAGCTAAACCCCACTGTGCTAAACGTAAAATAAATCTCACCCCTCCCCCTTTTGAAATTAAATAACTATCAACCCCCCTCCCCCCATACATCACTACCTATATGATTGGATCGAAACAAAAGTCATCAGTTTCACGGAAGAAAAAGGAAAATAAGAAAAAAGCTGAAAAACGCAAATCCTCGGCAATAGAACATAGGAAGAAAAGGGCATTTGTTATATTTAATTCCTTAGGAGGAAATCCTTCAGCAAATGAATACAGCCCTGAGATATATGGCATCCGACAACTTGATAATATTGACAAGGACACTCTACTGATATTTACATCTCAACTGACAAATCCTGCCTGAGGGATCTTCTTTCTTCGAAATGTTTTGTTAGGGAAGCCAAGGAGCTGGTTCAGAACTTCTGTTTTTATCCTTGACATAGCACTAAATATCATGAACATAAAGCTAGAAGAATTATTACAAAGCAAAACAAAAAAGACATGACATAGTCAGTTGTCTTATATACAGTCAATCAATGTGGCCTAACTTTACCACAGTACAGCATAGAAAGTTGTGACTTGTACACTCTTTACTATACTGTTTTTGTACTGTTTTTGTAACAAAGGATACTCAGTTTATATATTATTTCAACACGTACGGTTTTGAGGTTGCACCTGTGACAAGTTGTGTTCTTTATAGAGTAAAAAATATAACAATGAATGTCTATTTTAAATACATTTATATGCATCTTTTCAATTTTATAGTGAACAAAATCCCAAATTGACTTAAGACCCTCCCTCTCCATATTTAAGCAATTAACTTCTAACCCCCCTCCCCCCAGTACCAGACAGACGGACAGACAGACAGACAGACAGACTTTTTTATTCGGTATCGAGTATTAGAATATACATGGACATTTTACCCGAATAAACGTATGAAGGCTATAATCGTTGATTTATAGTAGTTTTTCTTATGTTATAATAGATTCACCTATTTAACCTATTTAGTAGAGTTACTATTTATTGCCTAGTCTGGGAAAGAAGACCACATACTATATTTAATCTGTATTGTATGTGGACATATTTTGCTACTGCAACTGTTAACATTTTGGGCAGACTCATAAATAGCAGAAACAGCTCGTTCTCATTTAACAAAAGAGAATCATTGTTTATGTTATTTATGTCCTTGAAGAGTTCTTCCCTTAGATTTGAATATGATGTACAGTGAAGAAGGAAGTGTCTCTCATCTTCTACACTATCTGGGCAAAGGAAGCCTCTCCTTTCTTAATCTGATTTTATCAGACGATATGYCCTTAATTTTTTCTCTTCGAGAACAAGAGTTCCCCTCGCCAGACTTGAATTTCTATATCCGTTAATCTAGTTTTAATTATTTTGAATGGGTTCTGACTTGAACAATGATTGTAGTTTATTTCAAGCCAGATATTCCCTAAGCCGCTTCGGTCTAATAGAAATTTTACTTTACTAGACCAGTTATTGTTGTTTGTTGCTAATGACTCTCTATATACAATTGCTGACAGTTTTTGGCGGTTTTCAAGTTTTGTTATGTTTAGCCAAAACTTAACTGATCTTAATTTTGCATTTAAATGATGGGGAGTTGACCTAATTCGGCTAGACAAGCCGAATTGGTAGCCTTTCTTCCAACCCCAAGTAACATTTTGTACCCTACACTGCAATTTAACTTTTGACCCCCCCCCCCCATTAATTTTAGAACTCCCCTCCCGATAATTATTTCACAGTCCCTTAATCATAACTTGCCTAAGAAAATGAAAGCAGGTTATTTGAGTATCATAATTAACAAATAAAACAGCTTTTTCCGTGCTCCGCTCAGTAATAAAGCACGCAGGAAGTGGCGTAAGCAGGAAAGAAGTGTAAGGAGGAAAACGGGCCTTAGGCGAGTGATTCTCACGCTACTTGAGTGTTTACGACTTTTCCTAAGTGTTTTACTACTTAACGGAGCACGGAAAAAAGCTGTTTTATTCGTTTTATTATATAGAAACTAATTTTACTTCGGTATTGAATTTATTTGCGTAAAAAAGAAAGACAGTCACAGGATCTAGCAGCTTCGCGCGCGCAGATGGCGTCATCACTGTGTTCCGTTCACTTATAAAGCAGAGTTTTCGACCAATCAGCGCGCACGTACTCTATCCTAACTATATAACAAACAAAGATAAGTACCGACTATTCTTGCTTAATAGAGAACGTGAGAGGAATATCCTATTAAGCACTTGTGACTAAGAATTTCTTGTTATTTATTGAATCACCTGTCTTATTTTATTTGTTCCTTGCAAGCGCAATGTGTGCACGTCCCGCATAATCTTATCTCTGTCCGTTAGACTAGTTCTTCTATAGTGAGGTTTTCTTCTCTTGCCAGTTGACGCATTTTAAATACAGTCTTTTCCCTAACGATAGGAAAGTGACCTGAAATATTCTATTTCTATTTTGGCACTTTAAGGTAGTTATTTACCTCCTCCATCCATGCCTATTAATCAAACTTCATTTCCAAAGATTTTAGAACTTCTCATATTATCAAAACATTAAACTTGTTGATATAACAAAATAAGATTTTCATTATCACTGTAAGAGTAAAACCAAATGAACCGTAAAAAAACGCAATATCCGATTAATTGGCTTCTAATTTTTTGTTTGTCATGAAGCCTTTTCTTTTACTTAAATTAACCACCACAAATAGCCAGAGGTACTATAATAGCATTCATGGGTTTAAGTGAAGGATCTTTTATTCTCATGTTAGTATATTGAACGACACCTGAAAGCCATGTTGTATTTCGTATCATGACTTCGTTGATTTTCGGAATCTTGGTGGGCATATTGACTGTAAGTCACGGACTTGATCCTGATTGCTCTAATTCCGCGTTCTCTGTCGGAGCTATCATCACAAAACGTGACATGATACTCAATGAGCACCAAAAGGAGTTAATATCTTCAGTCAGCTTCACCCAATGCGGTCTTCATTGCTTGGAACGGGACTGGTGCATTTCAATCAATTTTGAAATAGGTAAAAAAAGAGGCAAATGTTTCCTAAACGACGCTGGATTGCAACAAGAGTTTTCAAGAACATGGGAGAGAGAAAGATTTATGAAGAAGGAAGGTTTTGTCTTCAGTCAGCTAAGACCGTACTTGGTAAGTATTTCAAATGAATCTTATAAAAAATTGATCTCAGTAGAATAAAGCAATATAAGATAAACATATAAAAACTTTACTGGCGTCTCTTTAATTACATATTGGTCATTTCTTTTTTGAACTGTTCTAGATTTAAAGGCATGGGGTCAAGGGCGGATCCGGGGGGGGGGGGCAAAGAGGGGCTGAAACCCCCCTTCAGCAGAAAAAAACGATGCTTTTGATATTGCTTTTCGTTGTGTTGACGGAAGAAACTCAATTAGCCCCCCCAACTCAATTAGCCAATTATTAAGCTGTCGCTGGTTCGCAGACGGACTTAACAGTTAGTTCGGCTGCACGCAGGCTATGGTTAAAGGAAATTACGAGGAAAGAAAATGTTAAGCCAAGTCATGGACTACTATACTTTGATCCGTTGCTGCAAAAAAAAAAGAAAAAAAAGAAAAAAAAAAGAAAAAAACCCGATTGTAGTAGATAAAAGGGCGCGTATAATGAAAAGACATGTTAAATGTATATGCGATTACATTAGATGTTCACAGTTTTTCGCGTTGTCCAGGCATATTTTCACGTTCCCGTAAACATATTGGAAAGTTTTTAGGTAACTTTATTGCGTAAACGTTTTTGCCGATAAAATGTTCTTAAAATTCGTACATAAGTAATTTTTGAATAGTACATAAGAAAACAACCATAAAAATTAGGGGTTACGGTGCTCATTTAGATGATATCATTGGAGCTCAAGATATCGTTTAGTTTCAGTGGAAAGTACGACCTCTGGTGTACTGAACGTTTTTGCTATTACCGCGGCAATAGTCCCCTTCACAGTTCCCTGCGCTATCTTGAAAGGTAACCGTGCCTTTGCATCGAAGCGAGACGAACGGCGAGCTTGCAATGATAGAGACATGTGAATAATTGTCCAAGCTGTTAAAAAAGGTCTATCATTGCAAGTTCACCGTTCGTCTCGCTTCGATGCAAAGGCACGGTTACCTTTCAAGATGGCGCAGGGAACTGTGAAGGGGACTATTTGATGATAAACTGTGTAAATGCATTGAAGGCGAACAAAACTGATATGAAACGGGATTCGAATTTTTCTTCAATTAGCCTTTGAATACCATAAACTCGTGTCCGTCATATTGAAATCTTTGAAACACAGGAAGCCCTGTCAAACTTTCCTCACCAACATGCGCACGAAAACCGCTGCACTGAACTGATACGCACGGCGAGCACATTACCTTAATACATTTTCCCCATATGTTTTTACAGATTGGAAGTCCCGTTAAGAAAGGTGACATTTTTCGGGACATGTATTCCATCAGCGGCGTATGTCATCAACAAATCCTGAATTCCCATGAAAATCTCTGTCAAGGTGAGTTTTCTTTTTTGGCTATGTGGATGGCTGGCTCTGTTTTCCTTAAAAAAGATGTTCCTAATAAAATTCCTGAAAACGCTTCCCCTGCGTCCCAAAACAAGAAATAAGTAGTGCATGCAATAATTACGATTAATTTTATATAGCAAAAAATAAATTAGAGAGACGTTTATCAGCCGGTCACGGCATTCATTTAATCATTTCAAATTCATTGTCATTGAACCTGATGAGACCCAGGAGAATTTGGGTCGAGTTCTTCTGATTCGAGAAGYATTTTGGAGCGCGCCACTGTGTACATTCACTCGCCATTAGTCCAGAGCTGGACCCACTTTTATCGATGCGCGCGCGGCGAAGACGAACAGAGTAACGAAATTAGACTGGTAAGAATTGTAACGATAAGAGTTGGTCCAGGGAAGTTTGTCTGCGCAAACGCAGCACGAACCACCTCCGGACTTTACTGAAATGTTTTATTTTTGCAAAATTTCTATGCTTCAAAACTTCAACCTCAAATTTCTCGTACTTTTCCGGGATATTCTCTCTTTTTTGAGACAGTTTTGAAATACTTTCCATCAGTTTTCGATGCGTTTTTTTGGTATTTATATTCTCTGCTGGCTTTTTCGGCGATAGAAATGAACGTTTTCCTCGTTTTCACAGTCTCGACAATCTAGACGCTATTCTGTTTTGAAAACAGAGGAAAGCACATCACCATGGCAACAGGGAAATTTCAGATGTGAAATTACAAATCACGCGTTAAATTTCTCTTCGAAAATTTGGGGGTAATTTGTCTGGTCCTCTATGGTATTACAGCAAAAACAGGTTCCTTTTAAAAATTAATCTTTCCCTTAAAATTTCAATATATATATATATATATATATTCTCAATAAATTGTTTGCTTCCGCCTATTTGCGATTTGAAGTTGCATGGTAGCGCGCCGAGAAAACCCCGTCGAGCCACATATATTGCTTTCAATATTTTAAATAAAGATTCAAACGCTTGGGCGAGGTCTTGAATTGTAATGCAAAACCGAGCCCGTGCGTTTGAACTGGTTTAAACTTTGACTACTGTGATTTTGTTTGGGGTAGCTGTGGAGTAGAGTGACCATAGTAAATCCGTGAAACACTAATTACTAAATAGTACAAAATAGTGTTAGTTAAACAATAGAAAACAATGGTTTCATGGATTTACTGTGGTCACTCTAACGTTACGAGACAAACTGCAGAAATTGCAAAATAGAGCAGGCCGTGTTTTGACATTTTCCAATTATGATGCTGATGCAACTGAATTATTAGAGATTCAAGGTGGAAAAATCTTGACCGCCCGCAACAAATTCATAAATCCACAATGGTTTTTAAACGTTTACGCTGCGCAGGCTAGCTCCTGAATATCTAAACTCAAAATTTTCTAGGCGTGACTCTGCTTACAACCTCAGGGACTCTGAAAATAAACACTTATTACCTTATCACCAAATAATTATAAAAACTTATTATCAAAATAGCTTTAGCTACAGTGGCGCCACTTTGTGGAACAGTCTTCCTAGTGGTATGAGGAACACAGAGTCTCTGGGGATATTCAAACGCAAGATCGGCATTCTCGGAAAGCAGCTTTTAGTAAATTGTTTATTATATATATATATATATAT